CCCTGACAGGAGATAAGATTTTTTTGGTTCACATTTCAGAGGTTTCAGTCCATGGTCTGCTGACTAAGTAGTTTGGGGCCTGAGGTGATGTGGAACATCATGGCAGGAGGGCATGATAAAGCAGAGCTACTCATCTTAACCTCGTGGCAGCCAGGAAGCAGAGAGGGCAAGGAAGCAGCCAGAGAGAAGATGAACTGTTCCACGGCACCCCTTACCTCAGTGACTTACTTCTTCCAACTAGGCCTCACCTCCTACAGTTTCTCCACCTCCCGATTTCCTATCAAGCTATAATCCAACCACTCAATCAATTAATCCTTTGATTTGGTCAAATGATCCAACCACTTTCCAAGAGCCCCACCTCTGAAGGCTATTATTGGGGACTAGGCTTTCAACACAGGAGTCTTGGGGGACACTTCATATCCAAACCATAACACTGGTTCAATTGACTATATCTCAAATAAAGTGGGAATGACAAGTAAATGGGAGGATGGGTAGAAGATAAAACAATCCTGGAGCAGTCCATATCCGAACAAATTGCTCTCACATGATTATTTCAGAACATAATTAGAAGAATCTGTCGGTTACCTGAACTATCCAGGGCTGGGGATGATGCACCAAATTTTGGAATGAACGCCGGGTGATTTGTATGAGCTGATGACCAAAAGAGGTAACATAGGTGATATCCTCCCTGAATAAGCGCCTCTTGTTCTGATCCTTTGAGAGTCATTCTAGTTCAGATTTTGTTTCTCCACAGATGGGGGATTTTTCATAAACATCAGCTAATGCCTCTATGACTGACTTTTCATTCGCTGAAGACATTTCAGTGTTGCTGGCTGGAATAAAAGTGGATAACAGGCCTCAGATTACTACTTCATTAATAACAGATTACTACTGGTTTCATCAGTTTTTCTGTGAACTCTTATTTGTATAACTCCTAAAATCTGAAACTTGAGTACAAAAAGAAATGATAATTTGTAAAGTCGATAAAAATATACTTACTCACTAACAAAAAAATCTTTCTGGCCAGTGCACTAATGTGTAAATTCACAAGCCCACATTTTAATGAGCTACGGCATTGCTAAATCTCAACCAACTCAATTTGGCAAAAATATGTAATGTAAGATCTTCACATACCTTCATGGTCTTCTGACTCTCTCTTTATTATACCAGTAATGATATCCAGGAAGAATTCTTCAGGGATGATATAGCACTCACTTTTGTAACCTGGAAAAGAAGACACACCACGAACTCAACCTAGGTCTCAGAAAATAGAGAAAACTCAATAAGTCTGATGGAGTTATTCAGTCACACAATATTTCAACCACTCAGTCCCCAAGTTTTAAAAAAAGCATATTTCAAAATATTTTGAAATCTTCAGAACATCTTATATTATTAGTCTTCACTTCTCATAAATCCCCAAGGAGCTATCAATATGCTCTGGTACTTATGAGTACTCCTTCAAAAATCTAAATATAGGTCCAGGAAGAAACACTAAGTTTCTGTGTGTATTGCATACTCTGAGTTCTCCTAGAGAATACTGGAATGGCAGGAGGCACATCAGCAAGGATTGCTTGGAAACCTGTTTAATCCAGAGATCCAAATAATCACAACTCAAGCTGACATAATTCCAAATTGA